AGGTAAGAAGATTTTAATAGTAGGAGATTCTCAGGTAAGATATATGGACCGTGCATTTTGTAACAGAGACAGAAAGGTCAGACAGAGAGTGTGTCTTCCTGGAGATGGTGTTGGTGACACAGTTAGCTGGTTAGATAATATTATGTCAGGTAATGGGAACAAGCCCATTATCTGTCTTAGTGCTGGTGGTAATGACATTGGGAAGAGCAGGAGAGAGGAGCTGCTGGATAATACAGGTTAGCCAAAGAAGTAGTTAGGTCTAATGGAGGGATCCCAGTCATATGTAGCATCTTGCCTAGAAAAGGAGTGGGCAATGAATGGATGTCTAGGGCAATTGGTATAAATTGCTGGCTAGACAGGTACTGCAAGGAACTTGCAATCCCATTCATTGATAACTGGTACCTATTCTTTGACAAACGTGATATGTATGCAAGGGATGGGGTTCATCTCTCTGGGGATGGAGTGGTTGCATTAGCCAATTCAATTGAGAGGGTAACTGATGACTTGTCTAGGAATTTAAACTGATAGATTATAGAGGTATGGGTGTTTGTGGGAAACAATCAGGCTGCAGCATTAGGGTTAAAAACAGCAGTTATTGCTGGGATACCTCACGGATATGTTTAAAAGACAATATTCAAAATAAAGTTGCTAGTAATGACAAATCAATTGATCAACAAACAAAGATAGATAGTAGAGGGCAACGAGTGACTAGTTCCCTTAAGGTTTACTATACAAATAGTAGGAGTCTAAGAAATAAGATAGATGAGCTAAGATTGCTTGCAAGTGTAGGTAATATAGATATTATTGGTATAACAGAGACCTGGTTCAACCTGAAAGATAGAGAAATGAGTTCTGAATGCAACATACAGGGTTATAAACTATTCCACACTGATAGGGTCAACAGGAAAGGTGGTGGAGTGGCGATGTAAGTCAGAGAAAATTTAAATTGTTGCCTTAGATATGATTAGAAACATCGAACACAGATATTGTTTGGCTACAGTTTCTCGAGGGACGTGACAAATTAATTTTTAGTGTGATTTATAGGCCCCAAAACCTTGATAGGGAGAGCAGTAAGCTGCTATGGTACGAAATTCAAAGGCATCTAGATATGAAAATGTGATAATGGGAGATTTTAGCATTAGACAAACTGACTGGAACAATATGACAGGAAATCTTGAGTCTAGTGACTATCTTGATAAGGTTCAGGATTGTTTTTTAGAACAGGTTGTGACAGAACCAACTAGAGGAAACAATCTGCTTGACTTGGTTCTTGCCAACAAAGATTCACTAATTAATAATCTTGAGGTTAATGATGAGCTTGGAGAAAGTGATCACAGGTAGATGATCTTGGTTGCCAATATGACGTTTCTAAGAGCATAGTTAAAGCTGCCCAGACAACTTTTGTTCCGAGCAGGGAAATTAGATCTAACAAAAATGATCCCAAATGGATGAACAATAGATTAAAATATATCATTGGTCAAAAGAGAGGCATACATAGGCGTATCAAAAGAGGGGATAGGCAGTTAAGAAATCAATACATTAAATTAAAGAGAGAAATAAAGAAAGAAAAAGAAAAGCGAAAAGGGATTATGAGGCTAAGGTCGCAAGGGATTCAAAGACTAACCCAAAAGGGTTCTTTCAGGTATACAGAAGTAAGATTAGGGACAAGATTGGCCCACTTAAGAGTAACTCTGGTCAGCTCGTTGACAGAGATAAGGATATGTGTGAAATTCTCAATACCTACTTCCTCTCAGTTTTCACCCAGGAAAATACTAGTGATATTCCTGAAATAATAGATTGTGTAGAACAGTATAATAGTCTATGTATGATTGTGGTAACTAGTGACATGGTCCTCAGACAAACAGAAACTAAAACCTAACAAATCCCCAGGAGCTGATGAACTGTTTGCAAGGGTGTTAAAGTAATATAAAGAGGAACTTAGCATACTTTTGGCTAATACTTTTAACATATCACTACAAACTGGCATATTGCCTGATAAGTGGAAAATGGCTAATGTAATACCTATTTACAAGGCAGGTGACAGGTCCTTGGCTTCGAACTATAGACCAATAAGCCTTACCTCCATAGTGGGAAAATTTATGGAATCAATGATTGCCGAAGCATTTCGTAGCCATCTTGACAGGCACAGATTGATTAATGAATCTCAACACGGTTTTAGGAAGGGGCGTTCGTGTCTTACGAATTAACTAACTTTTTCACCAAGGTGTTTGAGGAGGTAGATCATGGTAATGAATATGATATTGAGTATAGGGACATCATAAAGGTTTTCGATAGAGTTCCACACCAGAGGCTATTGAGGAAACTTACTGCACACGGGACAAGAGGAGAAATTTTTTCCTGGGTTTAGGCATGGCTGCCAAATAGACAGCAGAGAGTTTGCATAAATGGGGAGAAATTAGAATGGGGGCACGTCACAAGCGGTGTTCCTCAGGGGTCAGTGTTGGGCCCGTTGTTGTTCACAATTTACATAAACGACATAGAAGAGTGAATAAATAGCGACATAAGCAAATTTGCTGATGACACCAAAATAGGCCGTCCAATTCATTCTAATGAGGACACTAGAACACTCCAAGATAATTTGAATAGGCTGATGCAATGGTCGGAGAAGTGGCAGATGCAGTTTAATATTGACAAATGCAAAGTTCTAAATGTTGGACAATTAAATAACCATACCACATATAAACTAAATAATGTAGATCTTAATACTACTGATTGTGAAAAAGATTTAGGAGTTCTGGTTAGCAGTAATCTAAAACCAAGACAACAGTGTATTAGTGTTCGCAAGAAGTCCTCAGGTTGTTCTTCAACTCTATATATCCTTGGTTAGGCCTCATTTAGACTATGCTGCTCAGTTCTGGTCACCGTATTACAGAATGGATATAAATGCTCTGGAAAACGTACAGATGAGGATGACAAAGATGATCCTATGCATCAGAAATCTTCCCTATGATGATAGACTGAGGGCCCTGAATCTGCACTCTCTCGAAAGGCGTAAAATTAGGGGGGATATGATCGAGGTGTATAAATGGAAAACAGGAATAAATAAGGGGGATGTAAATAGCGTGCTGAAAATTTCCAGCCAAGACAGGACTCGCAGCAATGGTTTCAAGTTGGAAAAATTCAGATTCAGGAAGGATATAGGAAAGCACTGGTTTGGTAATAGAGTTGTGGATGAGTGGAACAAACTCCCGAGTACAGTTATTCAAGCTAAAACGTTGTGTAGTTTTAAAAATAGGTTAAATAAATACATGAGTGGGTGTGGGTGGGTGTGAGTTGGACCTGACTAGCTTGTGCTGCTGGTTCTGGTGCTGTGCTCCATCCTTGAGTGGAGGTGACCAGACTGGGTGGGTCACTGGGCTCATCCGGGGGGTGGGTCATTGGGCTAATCCGGGGGGGACATGGACCTGCTCCGCATGGGTCAGTAGGCCTGTTGCAGTGTTCCTTCTTTCTTATGTTCTTATGTATGGCTGTAAAACATTAGGGAAGTGTTTCCATAAGACACCTGTTGTCCCTGTTCACCCATCAGTGTAAAATGGGTACCTAGGTGTTAGTGGACTGGTGTGGGTCGCATCCTGGGACAAAACTGACCTAATTTGTCCGAAATGTTCAGCATAACAAGCGGTTTTCTATATAGTAGTATGCCATTGATGTCAACTATTGTGTGTATACCTCGTACATGTACTTGTAGTAAATCGAGATATTATTATTATTATTATTATTATTATTATTATTATTATTATTATTATTATTATTATTATTATTATTATTATTATTATTATTATTAATACATACCTGTACTCCAGATTCTTGACGACTACGGTGCTCTCCACACTAAGTCCAAGGTTGAGGGACTGATTTCCACATCTTTAGTATATTGTTCATCTGTCTTCCAATTATGTTCTTGAATTTGTATTGATAAAGCCACTGGATGGCGAAACGTCTACAATAAAGATACCCAGATGCTGCACATGTGTCTAATTTTAATTTTGTCGGTACTGTATACCATTCATGTACATCTTTTTGGACGCCTGTTATTTATACTTTTTGAAATAAATCCAAGTAATCTGTTAGCTTTATTGTGAAAACTTAGGCACTGTTGTCTTGGTTTCAGATTTCTTTATACCATGACTCCCAAGCCCTTTTCACGTACTGGATGATCAAGCTTTACTTCACCTAGTTTATAACTTCCAGGGTTATTTTCTTTCCCAACTACTAGTACTTTGTACTTGTCCACATTGAACTTTATCTGCCACTTTTCAGACCAAGATATTAATGTTTCCAAATCCTATTGGAGTTCATTGTTATCCTTATCTGAATCATTTATTCGGTAAAATTTTGTATCATCAGCATATTTGCTCATTTCAATTTTAATTCCTTCTTCAAGATCATTAATGTAATTTTTGAGCAACACTGGATCTAAAAATGATCCGTGTGGAACGCCACTAGTGACTAGTTAACATTTTGATTTTACCAAATTACTGGAAACTGTCTGCTTTCTATTGGTATGCCATGCCTCTATCCATGCTAGAACATTACCTCTTATACCATGAGCTGCCACTTTTCTTGAGTTTTTTATGAGGTACTAAATTGAGGGCTTTATTGAAATCCAAATAAAGAAAATTGTATTCTTTATCACTGTCTACTGCCTCAAATGCTTTAATAAAGAACGTCAGTAAGTTTGTCAGGCAGGAACGACCTCTCGTGAACCCATGCTAAGATTCATTAATCAAATTACGCTCTTCAAATTGACTTCTAATAATATCAGCTATAATTGATTCCAATAATTTGCCTACAATAGACGTCAGGATTATTGGACGGTAATCTGATGGAATTTGACTGAAATATACGAATCACATGAGCCATCTTCCACATTTCTGGCACATTAAGCGGATGGACGCATTAAACACTCTCGTTAATGGCTGACTAAGTTTCAACTTGCATTCCTTAAGTATCTTTGAAAATAATTCATTGGGGCCCAGAGACTTATTTTGTTTCAGTTTATCTACTTGTCCGATAACCATATCCATCGTGACAATAATATTACTTAATTTGTTTTCTTCAGGAACTGAATAATTGTCAATTTCTGGGACATTATTTAAATCTTCTTGTGTAAAGACTGACTTGAAATAATTATTAAATAAAGAACACAGTTCCTGTTCATTATCAGTCAGATGTCCATCCCACAATTCACAAGGGTCTCACTTTTTTCCTGACTTTTGCCCTAAACATTTGAAAAAAAAAAAAAAAACTTTTGGATTAGTCTTTGATTCATTAGCAACTTTAATTTCATAGTCGTATTTAGCCTTCTAATACCCTTTTCTTACTTCTCTTTTAAACTGAACATATTGGTCAATAAGTTTCAACTCTCCTGTTTTGATGTATCTATAAATCCCTCTTTTCTTTATCCTAATAGGTGTTTTAGTCTATTATTAATCCAACTGGGATCATTCCTATTTGACCTATTTATCTCTGGGGAATATATATACACTGTGCACGTTGTATATTATTAAGAAAAAAATCATAAATGTAAATGTCTTCGTTTTCGTTAGTATGATCATCGTCAACAAAATCATTAACTAAATTACCCCAATCGAGATTAGACAGGTGTTCCCTAATTCCATTAAACTTTGAACAACGAAAAACAGACTTTTCCTGTATTATCCTTATTTCGTACTCTCAGGTAATATTAAATGTAACATATTTGTGATCTCTTGCGCCAAGCTCTTCAGTGATCTCCAGATTATTTACGATTGTTTTCTTATTTGAGAAGACTAGGTCAAGCAAATTATTACCGCTGGTAGGCTGTGTTACACACTGCTTCAGAAAACAGTCCTGAACTACTTCCATAAAGTCACTGGACTCCAGATTACCGGTCAAAGAAGTCCATTCAATTTGACTGAACTTAAAATCCTCCACTATCATTACTTTATTTTGTCTAGAAGCCCCAGCAATTTCGTCCCAAAGAAGTCTCCTTTTATCGAATTCTAAGCCAGGACTTCGGTACATTATACACCTAAAATTACTTTTTTTTTACTTTCTAGAAATTGTACCCAGATTCTGTTACTAATCTAATTTTATACTTATTTTTAAGTAACAAATTTTATTTTCTCGTACATATAACTCAACTCCACCCCCTTTACCGTTATATCTATCTACATGGAACAGTTTAACCTTTGAATATGGCACTCGAGAGTCATATCTCGACTCTTTAAATTATATCATGTTTCGGTTATTGCAATAACATCGAAGTTCTTCGTATATGTTACCAAATGAAATTCATTAATTTTTATTTCTGGCACTTCGACAATTACCATAAAATACATTAATATGCTTTCCTCACCTTTTTCCTATTCAGCTTTCCTTTTACACAGTTTCTGTTATTATGCTCACCCTGTGTTATTCGATGACTGTTATTGCTAAGATTTATGATATGAAAACCTAAATCAATATTTCCAGTCTAATTATTGTCTAAACCCATATCTCGAACTAATCCTAGTTTAAAGCCCTAGCAATACCCTCAACTGAACTAAAGAGAAATCCCAAACCTGCCCTGGGTAAGTGAACCCCATCCCTGGCATACATGTCATTTCTGCCATAGAAATGGTCCCAGTTGTCAATGAATGGCACTGCATTATCCTTACAGTGTTTGTCCAGTCAACAATTTATACCAATTACTTGGACAGCCATTTATTTCCAATGCCCCTTCTTGGCAAAATTCCACATATATCAGGTCTTCCTTCCTTCTTCCTAATAATATCTATTGCTGTCCTGTGCCTTGTAATTAAATCCTCACTTCTGTGCTTGACTACATCGTTGCCTTCAGCACTGAGGCAGATAATAGGATTGATATCATTACAATACATGGTGTTGTAAAGCAGACTAACAATATTCTCCATCCCAGCCCCAAGGAAGCAAACCCTCTTTCTCCAACTCCTATAATTCAAGCAGAAAGCCCTATCCAAATACCTAAACTGACTGTCTCCAACAAGCACAATGTTCTTACCTTCCTTGTTCTTCATCATGATATCAACAGAGTCGTCTCACATTAGTCTGGTAGCACAGAGAAAGGGTTTGAAGTTTCCATAGCAGTGTTCTATTTTATCATTTCTATATTTCCATTCGTCCTCTTGATCTTTATCTTCATTCCATGATGTCCAGGTTTATTCCTTGACCTGAGGATTCACAATAGGAGTATTACTACGAATCCTCCTGTTTTCCTCAGTCAGTCGCTGTTCTTGGAGTTTAGCCACCCTTAGCTCCTCTTTAAACTGCTGGTAGAGTTGCTCAATAGAGAACATTCAGTTTCAAAGAGAGAGCACACTAGATACGTCTTCACAAATGCAAGGTGGATGTCACCACCAAACAAAGTATACGTCACCATGAACAAGGTACACGTCACTACCAAATAAGGTACACGTCACCATGAGCAATGTACATGTCACAACAGCAAGGTACACTTCACGTTATTTAATTCGTTAATACCCATCTTCCACTTATACACTTCAGTTATGTCTTCCCTCATTCTTCGTCTTACCTGAGAATGTAATTTAAGGGACTTGAATCTTTCTTCATACAAAAGATTTCTTATACTATTTATTAATTTTGTTATTCTTCGCTGAATGTTTTCTAACGAATTTGTATTCATTCTGTAATTTGGAGACAAGAACTGAGCTGCATATCTAAATGCTGCCTTACTAATTATGTATAAAGCTGTAATAAAACCACTGGACTTCTGTTGTTAAAACTTCTGAAATAAAGCCCAGAAATCTATTTGCATTGTTATGTACACTTAGGCATTGCTGTCTTGGTTTTAGGTTGTTGCATATCATAACCTCCAAGTTGATAGGTGGATTTATAACTTCCTAACAAAGAAAACACAAATAATAATAGTAAACAGAGTAGAATCTGAGACAGCTACGGTGAAAAGCTCTGTTTCACAATGCACAGTACTTGTTCCCATCCTATTTCTCATCCTCATATCTGACATAGACAGAGATCCATGTCTTCTTTTGCGGATGACACCCGAATTGCCATGGCAGTGACCTCCATCGAAGACACCACAAGACTCCAAGCGGACATCAACCAAATCCTCAAATGGACCACTCAAAACAATGTGAAGTTCAATGAACAGAAACTTCAACTACTCAGATATGGAAAACTTCAGGAAATTAAAACTGTATCAGCGTATACAACAAATTCTAATTATACAATAAAGCGAGAAAGTAATGTGAAGGACCTGGGAATGTCAGAGGATTTCACCTTCAAAGACCACAACAATGTATCTACTGCATCTGCTAGAAAAATTATAGGACGGATAACACTGGTAACAACTAAAATGCTTCCGAGACCAGAGTAGCTATTTCCAACTAATTTTAGGTCACTGATAATAAATATCATGGTTAAAATTGTTTCTTAGCTCTAATTTTCAAAATGCACCTTCGTGTCACAACAGGTTCCAACAGGCTTGTGGCAGTGTGTTTCTTACCAAACTCAGTCTTACTGGCCTTCATTATTGTTCCAGCAGTCATAGAAGGCGGTTATGCTGTCCACGTTATATTTTGAGGTGAAAGATAGGTGATTTTCTTAGCCACACACTTTGGTGATGGGCTTGCAGGGTGGATATACCAAGTACTGCTGCTTTCTATGTGAATGAGACAGCTGTGCAAGAGGTTCCCACTACATCAGGAGAGACTGGTCACCTCGTCAATCATTGGAGCCTGGGATGAAAAATGTCTAGCAGCCACCTCTCATTGAACCAAACAAAATTTTGCTACCACCAGCACACATAAAACTGGGGCTCATGAAAAGCTTTGTGAAAGGTATGGAGAAATCCGGTCAGGGATTCAAGTATTTAACATGAAAATTCCCCTCACTGAGCGTCACTGAGATAAGGGAGGGAGTCTTCAATGATCTTCAGATTCTAGAGCTTCTTAAAGATGAAGACTTTGAATCAGACCTTCATGGAGAGGAGAAAGCTGCTTGGGAAGCATTCAAGTTAGTAGCGAAGGGATTTCTCAGAAACAGAAGGGAAGGCAACTATTGGTGGAAAACCTCATCAAGGCTTACAAGAACATGGCATGTAGCATGACACTTAAAACCCACTCTTTGGACTCACATTTAGACTTGTTTTTCCAGCGAACTGTGGGGCAGTTAGTGACGACAATGGTGAAAAGTTTCACCAAGATATTTCAACCATGGAAAAATGGTATCAGGGCAAAAGAGGCACAAGAATGCTTGCAGAATATTGCCGGACATTGGCAAGAGATGATTCTTCAGCCCACTATAAGTGTCAAGCAAGAAGGCAGAGAGTAGCTACGGATTAGAGATTAAAATATACTGACACATATTGTACGTTATAACAAAATAATCAAATATTACATGTCTTGTATCTTTAAACCTATAATCAATAAGCATTTTTCAACGTGATATTTGGATTCAGGACATGAAAATACATAAGACTTAGCTAATATTATTCAAGAAGCAAACAACTTTTCAAAAATTGTTGACCAGTGTAATGAGAACGTTCGAAACTAAGGACGCCAAACTCTGATGATTCTCTTCAAATCGCTTGTTCTCTGTAGGCTGGAATACTGCTGTACACTTTCTGTCCCTCAAAGCTGGCGAAATTACTGACCAGGAGAGTGTACAAAGAACTTTCACTGCACACATAAGTACGATAAAGCACCTGAATTACTGGGAACGGTTGAATTCCCTTGATTTGTATTCCCTGGAGAGCAGGCGAGAGAGATACATGACATTATACACCTGGAAAATCCTAGAGGGATTAGTACCAAACTTACACACGAAAATCACTCCCTATGAAAGCAAAAGACTCGGCAGGAGATGCAACATTCCCCTAATGAAAATGTTTTAATTGCCTCTTGGGTTGATCTAGAGCTTGCCAGGTAGCGTAGAGGTAGGTGAAATATACGGCCGTTGACTAGCTTCATCTTTATTGGAATAATGGGTTCACACAGGGCAGTGTGAAGTGTGCCGGTACCAGTCCAGGAGGGGACCTTGTTTCCTGTAAGGTCTAGGAGTGAGAGCAACGCATGACTGTGTATGTCTAACTTAAGGCAGTGCCCTCTGGTGGGCATTTAGGGGAACTATGCCCACAACAAATTAGCTCCAAAGAGGGACTATGAGAAGTAGCAGTAGGTTTACTGTCTACAAAAAGCAAGGGCGCCACGAGTATACTGAGAGACAAAACAATAAGTGTCAGGAGCCCAAGACTGCTCAACTGCCTCCCAGCACACATAAAGGGGATTACCAACAGACCCCTGGGTGTCTTTAAGAAGGCATTGGACAGGCACCTAAAGTCAATACCTGACCAGTCAGGCTGCAGTTCTTATGTCAGTTTGCGTGCGACCAGCAGTAACAACCTGGTTGATCAGACCCTGATCCACCACGAGGCTTGGTCTCAGACCGGGCCGCGGGGGCGTTGACCCCCCGAAACCTTCTCAAGGTATTCTTCAGGTATTCTCCTTTTCGCATACTGTCTGGTTATGTTCTACATTATTTAGTTTATATGTGCTAGGATTATGACATTCCCGAGCTTCAGGACGTTACATTTATCTAATACTGAATTGAATCTGCTACTTATCTGACCAAGACATGAGTTTGCCTAAATCCTCCTGAAGTTCACTGACATCTTCCTCTGAATCACTTATCTAACCTATCTTCGTGTCATCAGCGAATTTGCTCGTATCACTAGTGATTCCCTCGTCAGTGTCATTGACATATATCATAAACGACAATGGGTTTAAAACTGACCCCTGTGGAACGCCACTTATTACAAATCCTCAATCAGATTTTACCCCATTTATACACACTCTCTGCTTCCTGTTGGTGCGCCATGACTCGATCCATGACAAAACTTTCCAACTAATACCATGAACTGCCCTTTTCATTAACATTCTCTGGTGCGATACTCTATCAAAAGCATTACTAAAATCAAAATAAACAACATCGAATTCTTTATCATGATCAGAAGGAATCTGAAGTAATCAATCCCTCAACCTGGAGTCGATGTAATCAGTCCATCAATTTTGAGAAGAATACAGCATATGCGCTATTTCCACTTATGGATTTGTTCACTGTGACACCACCTACGACTGCTTCACCTCACATACTCCTTTGTATAAGACTGATGAAGCCACTGTGTGGCGAAACGTTTCCTTAATAAAAAAAATACCCAAGTGTTGCACGTGTCTAATTTATCAGTCTGTTGGATCTCTGAAGCATTTATCTACCTTACGTGACCTGTTTCTTAATAAAGTCCACTGTGTGGGCAAAACATTGTCAATAAAGAATCTCATTACACTTCATTTGTGCTTCTCTTTCCAGGTGTTTTACCTGATCAGTAATGTGCGGAATAGTTATAATTATTAATATCAGGTGTTTCTTTCATCACTAAGGCTCTAGTTGGGTTCTACACTACCAGCAACACTAGCAGCAGTAGCAACACTAGCAGCAGTAGCAACACTAGCAGCAGTAGCAACACTAGCAGCAGCAGCAGCAGCAGCAGCAGCCAGGACGATAAGTTATTGCCGGAGAAGTTCAGAGAGAAGCTTTGCTCACTACTGCAACCTCACATGATACCACAGGTCAGTGTACAACTGTTACACTTGTACAAGTACAGGTCAGTGTACAACTGTTGCACTTGTACAAGTACAGGTCAGTGTACAACTGTTACACTTGTACAAGTACAGGTCAGTGTACAACTGTTGCACTTGTACAAGTACAGGTCAGTGTACAACTGTTACACTTGTTTCAAGTACAGGTCAGGTACAACTGTTGCACTTGTAAAGTACAGGTCAGTGTACAACTGTTGCACTTGTACAGTACAGGTCAGTGTACAAACTGTTACACTTGTACAAGTACAGGTCAGTGTACAACTGTTACAAATTGTACAAGTACAGGTCAGTGTACAACTGTTGCACTTGTACAAGTACAGGTCAGTGTACAACTGTTGCACTTGTACAAGTACAGGTCAGTGTACAACTGTTGCACTTGTACAAGTACAGGTCAGTGTACAACTGTTGCACTTGTACAAGTACAGGTCAGTGTACAATGTTGCACTTGGGAGAAGTTCAGGTCAGTGTACAACTGTTACACTTGTACAAGTACAGGTCAGTGTACAACTGTTGCACTTGTAGAAGTTCAGGTCAGTGTACAACTGTTGCACTTGTACAAGTACAGGTCAGTGTACAACTGTTGCACTTGTACAAGTACAGGTCAGTGTACAACTGTTGCACTTGTACAAGTACAGGTCAGTGTACAACTGTTGCACTTGTACAAGTACAGGGCAGTGTTCAACTGTTGACTTGTACAAGTACAGGTCAGTGTACAACTGTTTTCACTTGTAGAAGTTCAGGTCAGTGTACAACTGTTACACTTGTACAAAGTACAGGTCAGTGTAAAATGTTGCACTTGTAGAAGTTAAAGGGCAGTGTACAACTGTTGCACTTGTACAAGTAACAGGTCAGTGTACACTGTTGCAAATTGTAGAAGTTCAGGTCAGTGTACAACTGTTGCACTTGTACAAGTACAGGTCAGTGTACAACTGTTGCACTTGTACAAGTACAGGTCAGTGTACAACTGTTTTCACTTGTACAAGTACAGGTCAGTGTACAACTGTTGAAATGTGAAGTTCAGGTCAGTGTACAACTGTTGCACTTGTACAAGTACAGGTCAGTGTAAACTGTTACACTTGTACAAGTACAGGTCAGTACAACTGTTAAAACTTGTACAAGTACAGGTCAGTGTACAACTGTTACACTTGTACAAGTACAGGTCAGTGTACAACTGTTGCAAAATTTTACAAGTACAGGTCAGTGTACAACTGTTACACTTGTACAAGTTCAGGTCAGTGTACAAATGTTACACTTTTACAAGTTACAGGTCAGTGTATAACTTTTTGCACTTGTACAAGTACGGTCAGTGTACAACTGTTGCACTTGTACAAGTACAGGTCAGTGTACAACTGTTGCACTTGTACAAGTACAGGTCAGTGTATAAATGTTGCACTTGTACAAGTACAGGTCAGTGTAACTGTTACACTTGTACAAGTACAGGTCAGTGTACAACTGTTACACTTGTACAAGTACAGGTCAGTGTATAACTGTTGCACTTGTACAAGTACAGGTCAGTGTACAACTGTTGCACTTGTACAAGTACAGATCAGTGTACAACTGTTGCACTTGTACAAGTACAGGTCAGTGTACAACTGTTGCATTTGTACAAGTACAGGTCAGTGTACAACTGTTACACTTGTACAAGTACAGGTCAGTGTATAACTGTTGCACTTGTACAAGTACAGGTCAGTGTACAACTGTTGCATTTGTACAAGTACAGGTCAGTGTACAACTGTTACACTTGTACAAGTACAGGTCAGTGTATAACTGTTGCACTTGTACAAGTACAGGTCAGTGTACAACTGTTGCACTTGTACAAGTACAGGTCAGTGTACAACTGTTACACTTGTACAAGTACAGGTCAGTGTACAACTGTTGCATTTGTACAACTACAAGTCATTGTAAAACTGTTACACTTGTTCAACAATAGGACGCTCCCTATACAGAAGTAAGCGAAGAGTCACAGAGCTGCTGAGAGGGACCAATATATCTGAAATACGAAGGGAGACACTGGTCAATGAAATTGCAAATATCGAACATAAGCTGAAGGAATCTTACAGGAGACAAGAATCACAGGAGGAACTAAAACCCATAAAGAAATTTAAGAAAAAAAATACTTCTTCTTTTACGCCAAATCTAGGGGAAAACAACATCCAGTATTGGGCTCCTGCTTAGGAGGAATGGGACATACACAGGTGACAGCAAAGAAATGAGTGAGATACTAAAGTCCCAATATGACTCAGTGTTCAGCGAGCCACTTCCCACACTAAGGGTCGACAATCCAAATGAATTCTTTATGAACGAAACCTAAAATTTGGTCATCTTAAAAATCTCTGATATTATCCTAACACTACAAGAGTCTGAAAAGGCAATAAATGACATGCTCATGCGCTCTGCCCCAGGCCCAGACTCTTGGAACTCCGTGTTCATCAACAACTACAATAAGTCCATTTTGCGTGCCTTCAGCATTCTATGGAAAGGGAGTTTACCTTACCTGGAGTCTACCTGGAGAGGGTTTCTGAGGTCAACGCCCCCGCAGTCCGGTCTGAGATCAGGCCTTCTGGTGAATCAGGGTCTGATCAACCAGGCTGTTGCTGTTGGACACACGCAAGCTGACGTACGAACCACAGTCCGGTTGGTCAGGTACTGACTTTAGGTGCATGGACACAGTGGTCATCCAACACACACTAAAAACAACAGACATAGCCCCACTCCACAAAGATGGCAGTAAAGCAATTGCAAAGAACTACAGACCGATAGCACTAACATCCCATATCATAAAAATCATTGAGAGGGTTCTAAGATGCAAGATAACCAACCATCTACATACCCATCAGTTACACAACCCAGGGCAACACGGGTTTAGAGCAGGTCGCTCCTGCCTGTCCCAGCTACTGGACCACTATGACAAGGTCCTGGATGTTGTAGAGGATAAACAAAATACAGATGTAGTATACACAGACTTTGTAAAAGCTTTTGACAAGTGTGACCATGGTGTAATAGCGCACAAAATGCGTGATAAAGGAATATCGGGAAAAGTAGGAAATGGATATATAACTTTCTGACAACTAGAACATAAAGAGCAGTAGTAAACAGAGTAAAAGTCTAAGGCAGCTACTGCGAAAAGCTCTGTTCCACAAGGCACAGTACTCGCTCCCATTCTGTTCCTCATCCTCATTTCTGACATAGAGATATAAACCATAGCTCTGTGTCTTCCTTTGCGGATGTCACCTGGATCACCATAACAGTGACGTCCATCGAAGACACCGCGAGACTCAAAGCGGACATCAACCAAATCTTCAAATGGTCACTCAAAACAATATGAAGCGGAGTGAAGAGAAATTTCAACTACTCAGATGTAGGAAACTTGAAATTAAAACTGTATCAGGGTATACGACAAATTCTAACCATACAATAGAGCGAGAAAATAATGTGAAGGACCTGGGAGTGATAATGTCAGAGAATCTAGCCTTCAAAGACCTCAACAATGTATCAACAGCATCTGCTAGAAAATGATAAGATGGATAATGAGAACCTTCAGAACTAGGAACGCCAAGCTCATGATGATTCTCTTGGAAATGCTAATTCTCTCTAGGCTGGAATACTGCTCTACACTAACTGCCTCCTTCAAGGCATTCGAAATTGCAGACCTGGAGAGTGTACCAAGAGCTTTCACGGCACACAAGTTCGATAAGGCACCTAAATTTCTGGAAACGGTTGAAGACCCTTGATATGTATTCCCTGGAACGAAGGAGAGAGAGATGCATGATATTGTACACTTGGAAAATCCTAGCTGGATTATTTTTTTTTTATATTTTATTTAAAACTCAGGTACAAAAATATATGGGTACATAATCAATATGTAACAAGATACAGGCAGTGAAAAATAATCAACTGTGACTACACAATACTGGAGAAGCACATATATAATGACAGAACTGGCTGCTGCACTCAAATCAAACACAGCTTGTACGTACTGTGCTTCACATGAAAAGGTGGTCATATATAAAAAAAAAAAAAAAAAAAAAGATAGAACCTACCCAGTAATGCTTACACTCCCCCCCCCCATGAAAACGTGCCACTTTCACTTTAGTATACACAGTGACAAATCTCTTATACATTTATAAAAGTATTAAAAACTTCAATGACAAAATATATGAACACAATCCAGCCAGCTAAACGGCTGACACTATAATACAAGGAATGTCTGAACCTGATGGCTCACATCCACCATAGAACGCAATCCACCCTACCCTCATATACCCTATGGTAATAATTAATATCGTGCACGGTGGTGGGTTTAAGACACTACCGCTGACACTTCAACCCCTCCCCCCCACATGCCTAGTAACTGTGTCTGCCGTCACCACTCATAACCACCAACAGTCCTTGATAGTAATTAGCATCTTATAATATATCACCCTAAAAACATGCTACACACATAAACCTACCACAATAATAAATAAATTTACACATTGTTCCCACCTGCAGACAGATTATTTACACTGCCGGAGATAATCTATACATCACATCCTACAGAGAATGGACAACATTAGACATCTAAAATAATATGACATGTGTGTCACATGACCTGCTATTGCAGAGATTACTTAAACTCCTACTCCCCCTCCCCAAGTGAAAAACTGACCAGTTTCACCTGGCTATACACAAGATCAAAAACTCATTCACTTGAACATATATAATGAAAATGCGAAAAAAAAAACATCTGTAACAATATATAAGCAAAAACACCCCAGGCAAGATCTTACATTATATACAATACCAGAACGTTCCACTAGTTAAAAAACAGGTATGAAACCTCATTATTATGACAAGTTACATTGCTCATATATAGGTAAACATGTATAATTACAGGTTAAAATATGCTTATATACTAACATGCTTATGTACATCCTTACAAAACATGAAGGAATCCTTAGATAAATTATAATCATCGGTGTTCACAATAA